CTTCTGTTGTGAAGAAGCTGTCCCGGGCCTAGAGGCTGTGGCTGGAGGTGGTCCCTGCTGCATTGGTGGTGGGGGATGCGATGGTGGTGTGCTGGGAGCATACTGGCTCGCCACCGGAGGCTGGGGAGCATATGGTGAGGCAGCTGCCTGTGGAGGTGGAGGAACAGGGCCCCGTGCCTGGAGCTGTGGGTTTGCCGCTTGAGCTGCTGGGCTCGGAGCGTACCGGTTAGTTGGGGGAGGCATAGACGGCGGAGCGTTGTAAGGAGACGGGCCACGTGCAATTGGCGCCGGTGCTCCCATGGTGCCGGGGGTTAGCTGAGGAGGGGATTGAGGCAAGGATGCATAAGGGTTTGGAGGCGGAGTAGGTCCTGGGGGGATAGTAGATGGTGGAGAAGTCACCCGGGGAGGTGGAGCAGTGCCCTTTGGCGGAGGGGGAACCGAGGGTGTCCGCTGAGTAGGTGGAGCTCCGGGTGGTGGAGGTCCCTGAGCGATTGACGGGGACTGGTTCGGGAATGGCGAGCTGATAGGTGCAGCAGCTCCGGCGGGAGTTCCTCTCCGGGGCGTCGGAGCCTTCGCGAAGCCTTCGGGAAGATCGTTCCAAGCAGGTAGGTTGGTAGCTGTAGTGTACGTGGTAACAGTGGCGGGGGATTGATTCGACGCGCGTGGTGGCGGAGGAACCGAACCACCTAGGGGTTTAGCACCATAAGACGGTGCCGGCGTGGGCTGGTATCCTGCGGGAGCATAGCTGCCTCCAGAAACCGGCGCATATGGGTTAGTTGGCTGTGGTGGGGCAGCAGCACCAGGCGGGGCGTAAGGGTTCGAAGCAGGGGCCGGAGGTGCGTATGCATTCGTGGCAGCAGCCGGAGGTGCGTACGGATTGGTAGCAGGGGCCGGGGGCGCATACAAGTTCGAAGCAGGAGCCGCAGGAGCGTATGGGCTCGGAGCTGTGGCTGGCGCAACAGGAGAGAATGTTCTTTGAGGCTGGTAAGCGTTGGTCGTGGGAAGAGGCTTGTTCAGTGGCGTTCCACGACCAGTAGTCGTTTGCTGCGTCTTCTGAGCAGCTGGTTGCCTTGTCGCCAGCTTGATACGATTCCTTGCAACCTCAGCCTCGGGGTGCTTCTCCGGAACGAGGTCCAAATACTTCTGGGCTACTTGTAGTCGTCCGTGAGTAGCGACTACATCAGCATACTCAATGTACTTATCATACAGGTTGCTGAGCTTCCAGTCGGACTCCTTGGTACGCTCAGTGTCCTGGAACTTGGTGACCTGGCGGAAAATTGTCACCTTCTCGATCAGCCCTTGCAAAGCACGAACATGGATCGAGAAGGAGTTGTCATTTGCGGCTGTTTCAAGGGCCTTCTGCTCAGTCTCGCGAAGCTCCTCGATCCAAATCGCGACAACCTTCTCCAGTTTAGAGCCAGCCAGGAAGCAGAACGAAGCATCTTTGCGAAGGCTCTTGTCGTCCGAAGCCCGAATTTGTTCCTCTAACCGGTCACCGAGGGCGTCGCAAAGATCAGCAAATTCCTTTTCTTCAGCAAAGGTGCACAATGCTGCCATAACTTCTTTCCAGTTAGATAGATCTGCGTTGTACACAACATCCCAAAGGTTCTTGCCAACAATGGATGCTAGCAGGCGAACATAGTTCGGGCTCTCTGTCTGTTTGGAGAAGTAGTGCTCCTGCGCCTTTGCGATGCACTTCTGACCCCCACAAATAGCAATCATAAAAGCATCGGACAAACGATCTTCCTTGAGAGCGACATCCAGTGCCTTCTCAAAGTCACCGAGGAGCAACGCCCTCGTGATGCCCTTATCTGCTTCTGTCTCGGAGCCATTAAAGATGTGGAATGGGTTGTTAGTCTTCGCTCCCTTCGACGCAGCCAGGTCTGACAAGAAGTTGTCTGCTTCAGGACTTGCGTCGAACATTGATTGTAGGCGCTTGTGCTTCTTCGCCCCTGGCCCGCGGGATTCTTTAGGAGACTCTCCATTGGTTTCCTCCTTGCCCAAGCCAAGGTTAGCCAGCTTGTCAGCAGCCTCATCGGCAGATTGGTCCTGGAACCCAAGATATTCGGCAAGTCCCTTGCGGGGATTCTCGGAGATCAAAGCCTCGATGACCTTCCAGTCCGCCTTTTCTTCCTCGGTGGCAGCGTTTGCGGCTCTGGTTTCGCAGATGCTTCGAAGATCGCCCTCCTTGAGAGCATTCTCAAAGGTCTCAGTAGACTGCCCAACAGCCTCATCTACTTCGAACGGGGTGATCTTAATCTTGGAGGCACGTTGGCCTTTCTCCACCAAGTTGACAGAAACAACCCTGCCTCCAAAACCGAAAGTGGCGCCACAGGGTCTCTCAAGCCACTTAGGGGCCTTAGGCAAAGAAAAGCTCGAGACCTGCGGCTGGGTCTGTGCCTTCGCAAAGAAGTCCTCCCCATCAAGTGTCTGGTTCTGGTCTGCGATAGCTTGAGCAGATTCGGTGCTGGTGTTCTGAATCGTCTGGACCGCGATCTTGCCATCGAACGAAGCAGTGGCGAAGAAGTTGGGATTATGGGGGTTCCATCGGGTCTGGAAAGTCCAGTTTGTGACGACAGGAAATTCGCCATAGGGGTTACCTGTTTGTGGGTTCCAACAGAGCGTGCGATTATCCTTTCCAGAAGAGAGAAGCAGGTCGGGATCGTGGCTACACCATGAAAGCGATAAGACGCCAGATTCATGTCCTTTAAGGACCTATGGAATGTCAGTCATACCCAAATCCCTTTGTGCTGACGCCAAGATGCCCAAGCTTACCCTTTCTGGAGCATGGGAATTGCGGAGATCCCAAACATAGATCATGGGGTCCGATTCCAATGGTGTCGCCGTAACGAGTTTCGTAGGCTAGATCATGTTAGAAGCCACACTGGTTTCCAGGGTGATGGATTTAAGCATCTCACCTTCTCAGGATCCCAAGCAACGGCGCTGACAGCTTTACGACCCATATTGTTAAGAGTCAAACTCTCCTTCTTCGTTTTGACATCCCAAACAGTGACAAATCCTGCACTGCTACCGGTAACTAAGATATGTGCAACCTTCTTATTCCAATCCAAACACTCAATATCATCCGCACGGGCAGCGGTCCCAAGTCGATATGGGTTTGCGACATTGTTCAAATCGGATATGTAGAGCTATTCCAAGCTATCAGCAATGCATTCCTGCGGGTTCTCAATCCTGACGCAGTCCAGTACCTCTCCTTTTGCACCACCGGTGGCCAACAGATTGGAATGTCTGGGGTTGAATTGAAGGGCCTTGATGGCGCCTGAGTGTTTGGTGGTTCTCGAGATCACGGCGTCGTCACTTTCCGGTAATCAGCCAATGGGACTATATATGAATGACGGTTTCATCTGGAACACACCTCGATCCATTGATCAGCTTATCGGCGTCCCACAGGTCCAGCGACCCGCTCTCCAAAGCTCCAGCTATTACTCCCCGTGTGTTGTCCTCGGATGGGGTCCACGCTAGGTCATTGAAACTATATAACGGCCGTTAGTACATCACACTTGCATCGTGAATTGAGGACGAAGTGATAAGTACCCGGAGTCGGTGTCAAACTTCGCAATCGGCTGCAACTCTTCGCCGGTACTCTGACGGTCCAGGCCCAGGTCCCACAGCTCGAGACATGTTTCATTGGAGAAGTCAACATCGACTGCGCCGGCCCGAGTACCGGTAGCAATCAATGGCGATGCTGCACCGGGAGACCAGGCGAATGTGGCCGTCCGGGGAATCTCCCTCAGACGAACCATGGTGAAATGAAAGGAGCGGAAGTAACGAGAGGTACTATAGATTAGGAGATAACCAGACTATGGAGCGGTCTGGCAGCAACTATCATAAAAGGGGAATCGACGGATTATTAGAACTAAAAGACGAAAAAAGATGTTTCCACACGTAACCTCCCCTCCCTAACGAGACCAGAGGGGTGTATAAAAGTTGCCAAGTAGCAGCGGGATGCGATCGAAACGTCAACTGCACAGTTCCCAATCAACCAAGTGTCCTCCTGGAGGGACCGGGGCGATTGGCGCCTAACCTGTTCGGGCGCTCGCCAAAACACCCGCGGAGGCACGTGATATCAGTTTGCTCGGTCCAGAAAGTCTAGGCAAGGTATCATCCGCCGTGGAGAGCTACGGAAGAGCGTGATATTTGTGACTGGGGCAGAGCCCTCTTACCATTAGCTACAACTCTATGGTGCGGTGACCTCTCTGGCTGTAACACAACCGAGCTTCCGACCAGATATACACCATGAGCGAAGCGGCGCGCTTGAAATCTACCGTCTATGTGGGGGGTCTCGACCAGGCGGTTACTGTGCAGACGCTGGCCGAGGCATTTGTTCCCTTCGGCGACGTTGCTGATATCACGCTCCCAAAGCCCGACGTTCCCAACTCGAATGAGCTCCATCGCGGGTTTGGCTATGTGGAATTTGATGTACCTGAAGATGCCAAAGAAGCGATCGACAACATGGATGGAAGCGAGCTCTACGGGCGTACGATCAAGGTTGCTGCCGCAAAGCCGCAGAAGGACAGCAATGAAGGTCTAGGAAGCAAGACGGCTATCTGGGAACAGGTTTGCAGGGCGATTCACCTTCATTACGGGCAGGTTTCTAATTACGTATGTGCAGGAGGGCTACTTGGCCAAATACGCAGTCGACGAGGAGGATAGGTTGGCGGCAGAGCAGGCTCAAACAGCAGCCAATGATGGTTCTCACGACCCTATGCAAGGATTGGAAGAGCTGGACGTCGCTGGTCCGAAGCCCGAATAAGCTCTAAAGACTCGAATATCATGAGACAGGAAGCCGTACGACAGTAATATTGCAATATTACTCCATCAGAACCCTCCGTTCAAGCGGTACTATATACACGCGCTCCAACCGAGTTTTTTAAAAGTTTCAAATTCTCCCGCGACATCAACTTTCCCGTGAATAATACAGACCGCCGACAAAAATCACACCAAGGATCGCCATCGCAATTGAAATATGGTAATACACTTTAGTGCTCACGGCTCTCAGGGCTGTTGCGGCTAAGACGGAGAGTCTTGTCGGTCATGAGCTTCTTGCCGCTGGAGTAGATAGCAGCTCCAACAGCGACGCTAGAAGAAATTGCGTCAGCATAAGCGCATGTTTAGTCTGGGGAGGTAGCAGCTGGGGGGGATTGATCATGTAATATAGAGTTCAAGGAATCTCAAAACAGTAAACATACCCAAGGACGATACCTAATGGCAGAACGGTTAGACACATTGTGTTCCATGGAGAAAGCTTTAAATCAATGACATACCGAGAGGAATCAACTCTGGGGGGACCCTCTTGAGGGTGCGCAGACGCTGGGAGATAGTGTGAGCTGTAGCTTTCAGTTAGTCTAATTCTATCCCTAGGCAATCCTCCTGTAATCGAGACTCAATTGCAGGTCGTTAGGGTTCCCATACCGCTCTGGGCCTCCTTCTATAGCGATCGTTAGCACACAGGACTCGAAGCCGTTTTTTCCCGGGCCGAAGAACACTAAAATAGACTTACAGGAGTAGGGAAAGCAAAAGGCCGAGAGGCCTGCATCCGCATGACACGAGTGGGGAACATGGTGAAGGTGGACGTTGAGGTGGGAGCAGAGATGGTGGTGGGATGAAGATCAGATGTGGTGACGGAAGCTCACGACGTTTGAAGGGAGGTTTGAGTAGTACTGCCTTAGGCTGGATTCGGGTGTTTAGGAAATCTTGCCGCATGAGTGGCTCGCTAGACCGCCCGCGGTCACTCCCGGATTGACTGCTTCACGGGATCATTCCACCACTCCACTGGCGCAAACCTCACCCCATCTTCCTTCTCCAACTCCCCTCTCACCCACGCCCAACCCACCCCATATACCTCTTTTAAATTTCCTCTAGAGACCTTTCTGTCTCCTAACAGTCAAAATGGGTGCTATTCCTGAGGCCGATCCCGATGAGCCTATGGAGACCAAGCCCTTCAAGTTCGTCACAGGTGAGCTCAATCGCAGCCAATCTTGTGGCTTAGAGCCTCAAATCGGAGTCAATTGCTAACTTAAGTGCAGCTGGTACGTGATCATTAGGTCTATTACCGATTGGATCGCTCGCAATGCCGCCGCAGTCGATGTTTTCATACTGGGTGGAGTCCATATGTGGTGCTGACAACTTCTGATGTAACAGGCTATGATGCTCGCTTCCCCCAGATGAACCAGTACGTAAACCTTAAATGATATACGACTCAATTCCTTCCATGCAATTGCTAATTCCCGTCTTCACCCCAGGACCAAGCACTGCTGGCAAAACTACGTCGACTACCACAAGTGCGTCACCGCCAAGGGCGAGGATTTCCGTCCATGCCGTCAGGTATGTCACCTCTCTTCCGTATCCCCGACGTGGGACCGAAAGAAAACAAATATTGCACGTAAAGATAGATGGGCTAACCACTGATCCAGTTCTACCACGCTTTCCGCTCCCTGTGCCCCAAGGCGTGGACTGACCGCTGGGACACCCAACGCGGTATGTAAATTTCTTTTCCTCATGGTCCAAATTGCCCATCAGCGACTAATCTTACTCCAACAGAGGCTGGAAACTTCCCCGTCCGCCTGGACCACTAGACGAGTAACAAGTCATTGTTGATTGATTTTCCAAGCATTTTTTGTGTCAACATGTACTCTACCTGATCAAAACGGGAATACAAATCCGTCCCTTGGACTGGCTCGGGAGAAAGATATATATAGATCCGCCGTAGCTGAAAATCCATTGTGCCCCTATTCTGGTCTATCTCTTGTCCTTCGCATATGTAGAAGAATGTACGATTCGCCTTATGGTACCAGCAATTAGCGCCTCTCATTCCAACCAATACTAGTAGAGATATCGGTAAGCGGAATATGCAAGAACGGTTGAGCTAATAGCCCCGAATGACAACCCAATAGAGTTTATTCTTCTATGTAATATCCAAAGCAACAAATCATTCTATCTATTCCAACTCAAAATATAGCCAACATATAGCCAACAAAAACCAGTGCTGCAACCGCGAAGTCACTTTCGGCACTGAGACAGTCTATGATAGATAAGCAAATTGCTGAAGCAAAGGACCGATACCCGGTATATTTCAACCGGGATCTCCCAATGCAAGGGTATCTCGGTGCAGCCAAAGGACAGCACACGTAGAAATCGAGGGGCCAAAGAGGCCAACCAAATCACACAGAGGCGTGAGGGAAAAAAAACAAAAGAAGCACACACAGAAAAGGTATGTACACCAGATAAAACGAACTTTTTTGCCACCCAATGCTTTCGCCAAAAAACCATATACAGAAAAATTAGAGAAGGATAAAACTAGTTTATCGCAAGATCGAGCAAATCAGGAATATATAAAAAGAGATGGAGGAAAGAAAGAAAAAAGGTCTATCTATGCTGTGTGCTTCTCCTCGGAGACGCCCTTCAGCAGACGATAGAGCTTCTTGTGCTCTTCCAGGAAGATGAATGTAGCGATGGTATGGGGACCCAGGCGGATGAAGCTAGGAACCCAGCCGCGGAAGGCCCAGGCGAAGCCTTCCTTGCGGGTGATGTCTCGTAGGAGACCCACGATGTTGTGGCCGTGGCTCTCGGCCGGGGAAGCGCTCATCACACGGGTCTTAATCACGTCCACGGGGCTGCAGACGGTTGTCGCGACGAAACCAGCCATGAAGGACGCAGTGAAATGAGTGCCCAGGTTATCAGACATGCCGAACCTGTCGATGCAGAGACGCTTAAAGGTGTCGTATGAGGCCAATTGCGATGCGGTCATCAGCACGGCACGAGTCGAGTTGGGCCAAACGCCACGGAACAGACTTGCGGGACCTTCATGGCGGGTCATCTGGACCAGTCCGTGGAAGGCATGTCTGTAGTTACGGCGTTGCTCTATGGGGAGAGCTGCGTCGGACTGCATGCGCACGTTCATAACGTCGGCCGGGTTTCCTGCGATACCGCCAAGGAAGCCGGATGTACAGGCCATTCCGACCAGGGTGAGGGTGCTAGTGGGAGCATCGGGCGATGTGAAGCGCGATTTCAGCTCTTCATATATACCGAAGCGAGTGGTGGAATACGTTATCTGTCGCAAGAGCGCGGCCGAAAGCTACATGGTTGTTGCACTGTAAGCAAGAGGTCTCTCTCTCTCTCTCTCTCTCTCTATCTTTTCCTCCCGTTTCCCCTGGGACCCACACGGATTGAACGTACCCCTCTATATATACCCAAAATTCCATCACTCTTAATCACATGGCCAAAAGTGCCCAGCATGGTGGTTGGCGCTCCGGGCCCACGTGTTTGCAAGCGAACCTATTTTTTTCATCGATTAGCGTCACCGTGACGCGAGAGAAAAAAGGACATGGGCAGAAAACGCATAACACAGCCGATAAGGTCCAGGAATAATTTACCTTTACTATAGAATTAGTGTTAGTTAAATTCAGTTCTAAAAACCATATTTTAATAAAGAAAGTAGCCATATGTTGAGGGCTTACCAAGATCCAAAGGGTGCGTCACAGTGGCCGCAAAACATGATGCAGAGCCACCAAACCAGAACGGATAATGCACCTTTTTCACGGGAACAGCAGCCCGGGGAGGCTGCGACATCTCCAACTTTGCGCTGCTTGCCATCCTGGTGGACAAGATGTGAACAATCCAGCTGGGGGAAGGGAAGCGGAGAGCGTATCGGACTAAGCGATTTCGAAAAGTAGGAGACCAGTTTGTACGGAGTACAAAGTACCTAAATGTCTTAGACTGGAAATTCTAAAATGCGTCGGAGCCTTGATCTATCTCCGAGCCCGCAGTGGCCTTCGGCAGCATAACCGGCGCCGGAGGCAATCAGCCAATCATGTACTCGGTTTTGGCCGGGCAAACGGTAAACCCTCGGTAATACAGTGGAAGGAAGGCAGGGATATCCGCGGGCTCATTCTTCGCGAAGAAGGCGTCTTGGAACGTTTGTCTACTTCAACATGATCGGTTCTTGATGTACTGCCGAGGGGCTTCATTCCAAGGCTTCATGTAGGATGACATCACTTCTCCTGCATTAGTTGATGACAGTGTACTGAGTATACTGTGTAGTGTCTGCTAAGTAATGGTAAACGTGATCGCAAGGATGTATTTTAGATCACATTGCCAGACAGAAGCAGCTTAGTTAGGCCATGTGGTGCCCTGGAGGACATGTGGAGTCAACGAAGCATCTCGAATACTTCGATTAAGTCTAAATTAAGCTCTGTTTTGACAACAAAGTGTTCTAGATGAGAGTATAGTATTGACAAGTCTTATCTCTCCATTTACCTCACTCAAGCCAGGGATCTCCATTTGCCAACATAGTTCTGTATCGAAGAATAAGATACCCCGTACATACACATCCTATTTGTTAGCAGACAAAGCTTTGGTAAGAGAGCATTCGAGCAAGTCAATTTCCTTCCACGTCTTTTGGACTTGTGAAAGTAACGTAGGCCCGATGGTATTTATTAATCAAACATGCCAATCGGAACAACTTCAGAGAAGACCAAGGACTCGTGTAGGCACGGCTGCGGAAGAGGTACTTGACTATTTCTTAGTAGCTTCAAGCACTATGGCTGCGATTTGAACTGTTTCATTCATTTTGAGTCTCTATATTGTAATTTAGTATGACATGCTCATACAAGCCCTTGAGGATACAAAGCCAATATAACATTCAACAACTCGACGCAAAGCTGCCATCGACTCATATAAGCACGGTATAATCCCATTCGCGCCGCTGTTCCCTAACCTAAAACTCCGACCAGATGCTTTGAAGTAGCAATTATTGAATATGAAGGCATGCTTTTCCTGTTAATTCTTGTCTTCCCGGTTTTTCACTTTTGTGCCCCTACCATCAATAGCTTGGGTACACGTTAATCTCTCAAAGAAAAGAGAAATCAATTAAAAGCCATACCCACCACCTCCATATGGAGTTGCACCATACGGAGTTGCTGCGCTTGCTCCCCAAGCACTTGCACCGCCATTAGCGTAAGCAGTGAAGCCTCCATCAATGCCCTCTGGTGGCTCATATGCATCTGGACTGCGTACACCCATCATATCTTCATCCTCCCCACCCATAACACCATTGCGGTCGCCGTCACCAGTGCCAGACAGTGCCGAAATAACAGATGCAAGCTTGCGTTGTAAGACAGTGATCCCTTGCTGGATGATCATATCCGGCTCAAGAACGCCGACGCTCTCGACATCGATATAGAAATTGTTGGGTTGCGCATCGTAATCGAAGGGTTGGTCCGGGGGAGCAGCGTGTTCCCATGCAGCATTGTGAGAGACAGGCCTGCTTCTGTCAGTACTAGAAAAGCACTTTCCCCAGAGACTTTCTGAGAATAAAGTGGTGATGCGACTTACCATTCTTTAATAGGATCTTCTTCGTACCAATAATCCACATGTTTGAGGTTATTGTGTGGATCATATTCGAAACCAACTGCTGCGGTGGGCATCCACTTGGCGTGTTCTTTGGCAATGCCCTTCTTGGCGATACATGTCATTTTAAGCTCTTGCCCACGTCGCAATTTACAGATCAGGGGTCCATTGCCTTCTGGATCAGTGATAACCGGATTCCCGACCCATTCATTCGCCCGCTCGCCACTGACCACCAAATCCCGCGCATACACGCGCATAATGTCGTCGCCGGTGCAGCGCGCATGTAAAGTGAGCGTCACGCTGCACCGCGCGCAGTGGTCCTCGCACTCGCAGTCGCGAGTGTACTCACGTCCTGGTCACAGTTCTTGGAATTCAGAGGGATGAGACCCAGTCGGTGGGCAAGAAACTCGTCCGGAAGCACGGAGGTGTTCTTCTCGACTTCAACTAGATCGATAGCAATAGTGGGGACTTCAGCAAGCATAGTTCGGCGGAGAGAGTTGGCGAAGGCGAGATCGACGGAGCTGAGTTTGAAATCGACTCGGTAGGGTTCGGCCTACAGTTCTGTTAATACCTGAGGGCTCGTGGTGGCGCTTCTCTTCAGAATTTAACTTGGTGTCCGAGATTTTCTTGACCATACCTCTCGCACTGTGACCTGGGGCCCTGTAGGCTCGATGTCCATTTCATAATCCATGTTGGCGACGAAGCAGCGGTGCGGGCTGCCAACTTCAGATCGGAAACGGTAGCTTTTAATAATTTGTTTATAACACAGTTTAAGTTTGTAAAGAAAGTGGCTATAACAAACGATGTCTTGGCCGGTCAAAGATGAAAGGAAAGCGATAGGGAGCTGGGTTTGAAGAAGAGCGTAAGTCGCGAGCGTTGAGTTCGGCTCCAAACTGAAGTTCCGCGCTTTCCCTGTTTGGGTATCTACAGATTTACTTAGTATTGACGACCTCATTCACAATACAAACTATTGGTAAACACATGACGCAGATAACCAATAATTCTGAAAAAAAATTATATTATCTGGTATCTATGTCTATTCCTTCACCTGATGGATATCTATATGCTAACTGATACGAATGAGATTACTCATATGTCTACGTGTTCAATAAGAATATTTTTGCTGGTTAATCTCACAATCATGAGTCGCTTGGAGAATAGTCTTTTTTTTGTGGGGTTTTCTTCTCTTCTTGACTCCTATTTCTGCATGAGTGAAAAGCCATATCATCAACAAAGGCACAAGCAGACCCATGTCACCAGTAGGCCAGTTGCCCTAACCGCATAGGCGGCGTCGCAAAGAGCTGTAAGTAGATGGTTAAACCATGTCAGAGTCAAAAGCAAACTTTGGTATCCAGATGACCAAATATCCTCTCCGCGAGTAGGATTCGATAGAATGATGATGTTCAAGCGACATCAGTTACAACTTTTCGTCCGTCCACGCTAGCGCTGTCCATGCGCTTCTAACTCTCTATTCGACGGATCGTCATGATATCTATAGTGGTGAGTGTGTGAATCCGATGCCATGCGCATACCGTCCCAAGTCGCCAAGTGGGTATGTCAAGCAAGGCATGTAATGACAACTCGAACTCCAGCAGAGCACCGCCAGCCATTACAAAAAGGGATGTTCAGACAAAAGAAGGCAAGCAAGAAGGTAAACCGGTGTAGAAAGATTTTGTCAGGGAGAAAGGAAAGAATCACGTCAAGTCGTAACGGGAAGACCAAGAGATCGCAGGTGATCTTCCACAGGCTCCTCGCCTATCCAGCTCCGGGACCGGAATATCAGGCAAGGGAAGGCAGTCGCTACCGTTTCATGGAGCTGCGATTCAATGCCTCTAAGAGCTCTGGGCGGCTCGCAAGAGCAGCTGCGGCTTGCGCATATGAGACCCATTGACGTTTTCGTTTATGCATTTCTGGCCATTGCGCTTCCTCACGGTCAACGGTGACCTCGAAGAATTGGTAAGTTGCCTTGGGTGCATGCGACGTCAATAGAGTAGAGGGGCGCATGTCAGGGATCAACCCCAAATCTCTAAGCACTGTGCAGATTATGCCACCCTCTTCCCAGGCCTCTCTGCAAGCGGCTTGTTGGGCAGTTTCTTCATCGGTTTCCCATCCACCTTTGGGAAGTACCCAGCCACCTCGTCCCGCAGATTGAATCATAAGCACCTGTGACTTATCGGTCGACAAGGGGACCACACCGGCCACAAGACGTTCGCCTTTCGATCCGTATCCTATTATTGATATACAGGTTAGCAATGGTATGCGCGACATAGCCGACGATAGCAGAGCGGGAATGGGAAAACGACGCGCGTAGTTCGAACGGGACATGGAGAGGGGCACAATTGGGCCCATATATCTCCAGGGACAAGCACTCACGTTGGTTTTTCCGTCCTGTGCGGGACTCCATTGACCGAGTTTGATCCACCATCTTGGATCAAGAAACAGAGAAAATAGGTCAAACAATAAGAACCCTCTACGCCACCTGGGCCAGATAGGCTATAGATAGAGGGATTGGATGAATCGGTGATGGGCAGCGCGAGCTGCAGTCCACGCGACAAGGAACCAAAAGAGTGTAGGGTTTGCGGAAAGTAAAAGAGAAGGTTGTCAATGACACAATAACGAGGCGAAGTATATGGGGTTAGAAGTCCGGAGATGAACTTTTTTAAACTTCAAACGACGGATATTCTGAGCCAAAAAGAAGAACCAGAACTGGTGAAAGAGAGCTGGTTCAGGACCCGTCGACCCTAATTTTTTTTCTACCCCCGGAACTTGGGAAAGCGAGGCGGTCGAGAAAAAAAAAGTAGGGAAATTTTTTGGAGGGGAAGGATTGGAAAAAAGCTTCAGGAACTAGGTATCCCCGTTCACTCCCGCAGCGGACGGGAACCTCGAAGGAGATGTGAAGGTACAAGAAGACATGGTAATCAGAAGGGCAGCATAGAAATAAGAGAAAAAGGATAGAGGGACAGGAAATGGGAGGAACGGAGGGGGAGGCGAGAGAACGGGGAATCAGAGACAGCTTAGGTTGGGGAGTATAATGGGCGGCGCGGTCCGGCAGGACGAGTCGCTCTCTCTCGCCCGGAGCGGACTTTGCTGGGCGGTACTTACGGGTACGTACGGTACCCTGATTCGGCCTCAATGGGTAACAGATTGGTCCGCATTTGTGTGTGCGGTGGGCATGCTTGGTATTACCGAGACAATACTGGCCACCGGTATGCCTCCCCTTAATCCCGTCTCCAGTTATCTTGAATGTATTATAATAATTTATTTTGAGTCTTAGTTCTGGAAAGTCCACCCCCCAGTCTTTTCTTTTATTATTATAATATTCCTTTCTTTTGTTTTAATTTAGTAGATTTCTAGTTCTTACTCCTTTTTTTTTAATTTAAAAAAAACAAATATCTCTCTTAGATGGTCCAACTCCTTCCTTATTTTTACCAATACTTTCCCCAGTCAACTTGTAGGTATTGTATGGTTGTATGGAATGTAGCAAACGTGTGGAGTTGGCCGAATGATTGTACCCAAGGATCTTGAAAGAGACAAACCGACAGGTGAGGTAAGTATGTTTCCATTTCCATAGTAATGACTCCTGAGTCTTCCGATGCATTGCGGACCTCGTCGGTTCCACAGTAACCTCTTGGTCACCCAAGGGACCACACAAATGGGAAAGCGAACTCGGGAGTACCGCCGTGCTGGTGAAATGATCACTCACACACTTGCTACTCAGACCCTGTCAGGAACTCGGCTCTTTCCAGTGCCTGTTGTTACGAACAGGCTTCTATGTATGCATGCACATGCAATACGAAAAGCGCCACATAAGAGCTCCCTCAGATCTGGCGCAAATGGATTAATAAAAAAGATCCTTCACCATGTAGAGAGGGACTGGATTAAGTTCTGTCCGTCTCCATCGGACTTAGCCCTTTGTCTGACGAAGTAAACGACGATGGCCGCCACAAGCGCGCCGCATTCGTTGCGCTGATGTTCTCGGGCGTAAGTAGTATACTACGCATGTACGTACTTAGCTTAATACCTAGATAGTAAAAATTCGGGTCAAAACTGGGTGTAGAATGGAACTATAACTTCCTTTAAATTAACCTTTTATGGCTTGCTCTCTTCTAGCCAAAAAAGAAAAGGAAAAAGGGCAAAAAAAAGCACATTCAACCTCGCATTTTGGTACCAGTGATTAGTTGGCCACTAGTCACACACTGCAAACAAAAATAACTAATCACCATGAGTTTCCCAGAATTAGGATCGATCCACATGGTTAACCAACTTTGTACAGCGAATGGGTACTGTATACACTTATGTGATAATCGGGACAAATAGTTGTGTAATCAAAGTATTAGATTTCCTTGTGGAACGAGGTGATAGAATAACCAGCAGCAGGCCGAGTTCCCACGATCCCCTCGGGACCTCGTTGCACGGACGCGTCCTTTGCAACCTGTGTCCATGGGTCAAGATTACCCTCTTCTTCTTGGGTAGTAACAGAGTGTGCATCGCCCTTTTGTGGATGCTAGCATATCCCCACATTGCATGCAACAGACTCGAGGAGCGAGTTATCGTACACATATAATTTTTTTCATACGTGCCCATAGAGAGATGCATCAGCATATCAATTTTCAAGATTCTTTGGGAGGCGTAAGTAGGTATGATTGTGGCCTTCTCTATTTTGTTTTATTTCAATCTAATTTCTTCCTTTTTACGGTGCTGGTTACTGGGCACTCCCATTCCCCTTGTCATCCAGACAAGCCTTGGGGTTATTGGGTACCATCCAGCGTGCCTGCATACATTATTAGTCTTCAAAACCAGCATCACAGAATGATTGATCCAACTAAATGCGGGGCTCCAACAACGATTATTCAGTCCATGCCGCTCTCTCTTTTTACTTTCATTATGTTTGAAGACACGAAACAGGCAAAAGGAAAAAAGAAAAAATCTACCTTTCAGACGTCAAAGTTAAACCCAGATCAGAGCTCGCCTCGCCTCATTAAATCTATTACTGGCGATGATGTAGGTGTACATATGTCCTGTTCTTATGTCCTCTGTGAACCTATAGGGGATTTGTAGATCATAGCCGGGGGTAAGGAGGGGGAGGGTTACTTAAGATAGTGCGGACTAAAACTACGAAGGATTTCGGACTACCAAAGAAGGGATGCCTATCGTATTCAAGGGCGACTCGGTCAGATTGGGAAGGATGATGGTGGCGATTAAATAGTGAAGTGACAACACAGCAAATACACAGTAGTTATTGAGTTAGTGCGGATCTTTTGTGTCGATACTTGACGTTTGGGATACTTCGACATGTGATGTCATGGTCACTTCTGAAATAGTAAATTGGATTGAATGAAACCACTTGAAACCGAATGATGGATCAGCCGAGACAAGGTTCAATGGATTGTCGCAGCACAACATTCCAACGGCCATCAATAATAAGGATTGACCGTTGGGACACTTGGCCAACTTCCCATTTCAGAGCCAGGGACACCCAATGACATGATCCTATCGTATTGTATGTATCGTACCGGGAAGTTTCATTACCAACGTCTCTCTCTGTGTGTACTGTACCTAGTATATCCTGGATGATGTATGTATATACATCCATCCATCCATCCGTAGGTAGGTATCAGGTCATAGCGATCTGTACCTGGTTGAAAATGGCAAAGCAAGCCAGCTAGTCTATGACTAACAATGGCAATTCCAGATTGGTGGTGCCACTCAGGCTAGGGGGTTTGCATCTACCTAGGTAGTAATCATCCTGTTGTAAGATCTCCAGGATCTTTTCGCGTTTTCTAGGCTCTGGTACTGTACAAACATACTGTACGGGGTACGTCCCCATCCTACTAGGCACTGTACAGTACTTCCTAGGTAGTCCAATATCGGAAAGATGCGAGCGTTGATAGATCAAGAGAAATCAATGGATATTATATGGATATTGACATGAGTACATGATAATTGAATAAAATGGACCCCTTCAAGGCTACCCAACACAGAGTTTCCTAGCGAACAAGGATGATGCGAAATGCATTGAGGCAACATGAGCTTTGCACGCTTGGATCCTCTTCTAGAAGCATCACGAACGTCATTTGCAGCGCTTGGCAGCTGCTCCTGGTGATCTACTGCGGTTTTAGCACCGAATGATTCTGCTTGTTCTGTATATCTCACTTTTCTGAGCTATCCCAAACCTTGAACTCAGAAGGAACATCTATGACAGGAGAGGGACGGTGTGTTTGTTTCCCTTGATGCTGGCCGAAGTGGTATTACCGTACGTGTGTTCCTTTTGTATCCAAAGAAAGGCATACAAGCTGATAAACCGATAACCCATCTTCTTTAACCGCAAGCTTAAACATCCCTCTGTTATTCTTCGACGCTGAACTCCATTTGCAGATAGATTAAAACCTCGTCTGGTTCGGGTTTAATTTCCCTTGCGTTTCCTCCAAAAGACACGAAGCTTTTTCTTGCTGATTTTCCCACCCCTCATTTTTTTTACCCTTGGGTTTCCGCCTTGAGCGCCGACGATAATAACCGCACTACATCCACCACTGCTAATTGAAACTATGGGATCCATCATCGACGCCGAACAAGCCAGGAAATTGTCGCTTTTCCGACCTCTTGGTAAGCAGCCAGTCAGACGATATTCCCTTTCCCCGTGCAATCATTATTGGTCCTCATCCATCCTTCTTGAACCCGGGGCCCAAACCGATATTCTGTGCCCCTCAACGACGCTTTTACTGCCCCTCTTCCGCGGCGATAGTTTCTTGGCCATCGCCAATACGGCCCATCGTGATCCTTTGATCATGTCCCTCATTAGTGCCCTTCCTTACAACTAATGCATACCTGTACTCCCTTTCTTTTATCGCCGCGGTCGTTGGATCGATCAGTGACTGTCCGCCATGACTAACGAACATGAGAACCCCACAATCCAATGCTGATCCCAACATACAGGTTACCAGCGCAACTCATGTGGCTACTGTAAATCCGACAATGGAAGTGAGTCTATCTGGCACATGTCCCTTCCCTCCCTCTCACAATGGATGGTCCTGCAGCCATCCAGTCCATCTAAGGCCCTTCTAATATGTATCCACTGCAGGCGCCTCGTACTATACTAGCTCTGTATCAGTACGCCCCGGCCATTATGAGGAGCTCGTCAACCGTGGGTGGAGACGGTATGTATCTATCACTCGCTTGATGAGTCGGTACGTGGCATGCGGTCGCTAATTCCTACTCCAGATCAGGGACGCTATACTACAAGCAGAACCTGCAGAGATCATGTTGTCCGCACTATACGATGAGGTATGTACAAGGCAACCAAAAGTAACCCACATTGGCTGTGGTCCACTAATTTATTGATTAGGCTTGAGGCAACGGCCTTCAAGTCAAGGAAGGACCAACGCAAAGCGATCAATCGCTGGAATAAGTTCGTATTGGGACCGGAATACATCCGAAGGGCAGCTTACCTGTGCCCTAAAACCCGGGAGTAAGTCCATTGACTATGATCCGAACGTGAGACCGGGGTTAACCTCAAATAATTTCAGAGAAAAGAGACACCGGAAATGCAATTTCGACCTACTCACTGCTGTTCACGAGGCTGAGTACAGCAATGTGAAGAGGCCCATTGATCCCAAGACCAAGAAATACTTGGAACCTGCTCATCGATTTGAGGTCAACTTAGAAGGGGATTCTGTATCTCAGGCAAAGTAAGTGTAGCCCAACTCCTCACCATATTACTCTTGTTAATTACCCAAGATACGAGCTCTTCCTCAAATACCAGACCAAGGTCCACAAGGAGGACGTCTCCACGTGGCAGCAGAAGGACTTCAAACGGTTCCTCTGTTCGGGCCTGAAGCGTTCCCCGGCTGATCCCAAGTCTACTGAGAAGAAATTAGGGTCATGGCACCAGTGCTACCGCCTGGATGGGAAGCTCATAGCTGTTGCGGTCTTGGACCTGATGCCCAGTGGCGTGAGCTCTGTATATATCTTGTGAGTTTTGCTTACTCCAGAGCCATTCGAGCAATGACTGACGGCCGAAGCTATGATCCTGACTACGAACAATGGGAGTTCGGGAAACTCAGCGCCCTAAGGGAGATTGCCCTCTCGATTGAAGATAGTTACCAGTATTACTACATGGGTAAGATATTCCCAGCCTCTATTTACGACCTATGGAACAGATAATCACTGATAACCCTACACAGGCTATTATATCCACTCCTGCCAGAAAATGCGTTACAAGGGATCCTTCAAGCCGCAGTATATCCTCGGTAAGAACACCATCAATTTTCAACAAAGTAACATATTGACATATACAGACCCCGAAAGCTACACATGGGATCCCCTTGATGGCGAGCTGGCAAAGAAGCTAGACGAACGTCCATACGTATCACTCTCGCGAGACCGCTGTCGTCCCGCCGAAGGCACATCAGAGTCCACCGGGACAGAGGCCGACGCCGAAATCAACGACGATGAGGTATCTCTCTTCGACCTGCACATGCCCGGTGTCCTGTCTCTGAAAGAAGTGAAGGCCTTGGATCTGGACCACTGGCTGCTCCTCGTCCATGGTAGTTTTGTGCATATGAATGTAAGTACATTTCTCAGTGAGTGGATATCCTCTGTTGGCCTCATATTGACATGTACTGCCACAGGACCTTGTGGGATGGGAGACGATGCCTATGGATAATCCCCAGTCTGTTAAAGGGATTATTGCTGAGCTTGCCGCGGTGTTGGGTCCGGAAATTGTCAAGCAGAGTGCTGTCGTACTGTTCGACTAATAGCGCCTTTAGATATTACTTTTACCTATGCATATAGAAAGGATCACATGAGAAAGATGTGTGCAAGTAAATAAGTAATTCAACCTATATATGGCATAAATGTGTATCTAAATTATTGCAGGGGAAGCAAACCAACTCCGTATGTGTCATGATCACAATATCCTCCAAAACGCCCCGCCAATGATTCAATAAAGCACAAGAGGTAGAAAAACCATCAATGCATCCCAGATAACAACATAGAAACCCATGCAAGTATACAAAGACGGGAAAACAAGCCAAATGCACACGCTAAAGCACATCCTAAACGTATCCACAAATTGCTAAAACGACCACGTATCAAATCCCATGCATTTAACACATCAATTCAACAGGAGGTCGAGACGTCTTCGGCGGAGCCTTCCGTATCGGCATCTCAATGGGGCTCATATCCATTTCCAAGTCATCCACCATGATGGTCGTATCCTCGACCATAACAGCAGGCAGATTGGGACTTCCGCCATGCTCCTCAGGGTGGTAGATAAGGGTGCTGCTTCTGCTGCGCTGTCCGGACATAGAGACGGGCCAGCTCCCCGTGCGCTTATCAGAGGTCATGGACATCGGGGTACCGGGTTCACAGGTCTGGTTGATAACCTCGTGGACACTAGATTGCTCGGTCTTCAACTTGGCCAGGGCGCTGGCAAGATCGCTGGCGTGCACCTCCTTGTTCGGGGGTTCCTCGTTGCGCATGACCCATCCGTGCGGGGGGCTGGGTGGCGGGCTGATGAAAAAGAGCTTGTCGGCATGGGGGGCCTCCAGGAGCTTTGGGCGGCGGGATTCCTCTTCGTCCAGGATTGGGGTGGGTTCACCGAAGTAGACCTTCGGGCGAACGTTGTGCTCAAGGAGTTGGCCGTCGAGGAGTTTCCGGACCCCGAGAGCGTCTTCTTCAGTGTAGAAGGAACAGATGAGGCGGCGGAGAGAGGGGAGCGGAGAGAATGAGTTCAGGGGCGCGATGGATTCGAGTTGTGCGCGGAGAGTGGCAAGGGAGGCGGGTTGGAAGAGGAGGATATTGCTGAGTTCGGTTATGATGAGGGTGTTTGTTGGCTTGGCTGGTTGAGACATTGTTGGAAGATTAGAGAGATCGAGCGTGAGGGCTGGTCGTGATGCTGAAGATGACCGAGAGGCCCTGTTGACGCTGAAGGAGGGAGGGGCGGAGATTGACTCCGGAGAAGTGGTAAGTCCAGGCATTATGTATTTCGATATTTGACTTGAGATTTGAGAGAGACCCGGGGGTGTCTTTGAAGTAGAGAGGAAGGGAAGAGGTGAGAAAGGGAGAGTTGATGGTGGCGGGGGGACAATCAATGATTATTATTGATAAGTCACGAGATAAGGCAAGACCGCTTTCAACTCTTGAGAGTTTCACTAAGTTTCAACGAGAACAATCAGGACTTGTTCTTTGATATATGATCACCTCGGCGGTTTTCTGTTTTCAATGTGGTTCTGCTGGATTCTATTCAATGTAAAGGACGATTCCGGTCCCAACTTATATACCGGAAAGGCCCAATAGCAGCATTCCAAAATGCAGTTGTGCTGCGCCCCCTTGAGACGCACGGTCGGGATCCTACCAAACACTGCCCCAAGACCAAAACCAGTAGCGATTACGACTTGTCCGCTGGCTTGGTTCCTGACGATCCATCCGTTTTTGCTCGAATTGTTTTTTTTTTCCTTGCCTGTTTTTGAATCCTTGCCACGGCTCCGCTGTGGCTGGAGAGACAAATTAACGATGCTCTTTGCCACAAGCACTGCCGAATTCAGACCGTCGCCATCAATTCTAGAATATGCTTTATGCTTTTTGATGAATGACAATCATAATTCCTTCCCGGCGATTGCGTGGGGAGGCTGATCAGTTGCTAATGGTTCTGAAATCACCGGCTGATGCTGTCATCAGCAGCAATTGTTGGCTTGACGGACTGTATGTCCCAGGTATGACAAGGCACTATAGTGCTATTGGACACATACAAGCCCCCCAATCCTTCCAACAATTAGAACTCGGCACAAAGGTCTGTCTACCCGTGCCAGTGCCATTCCGTGGATCGGTCCCGGAAAAGGGGGACCACTCCGCAGATTCTTGGTCTCCATCGCAGCTCCGCCCCCCGGTGGAGGTCCGGATTGCCTCATCCTCCGCGTGGTTGTCCACGCAGTACAGTATCGATGATGCTGTCCAGACTCCAGCACGCAGCGGACGGTGGGGATTTGCGGGTTTCCACTCTAGGCAGTCGAAATCTAAGTTGGCTGACAGCGTGCACTACCCATGCACTCCGCTCTAAGCCCCGACGCGGATGATCACTGTACTGCTCGGATATGAGCAACCGTCTCACCTTGCAGGAGCCATAGCCATACTTTGGCTCCATGCCAAGTTTCAAGCTACTCGATCTCTTGACTCGTAATATCCTCGCCCTCAGTTGCCAGATATCGCTTCGGGTGCGGAGTGTACCAGAGAGGCGTCTGTATCCATGGCATGGTCACATGAGCCTTCTGAACAAGGCTCAGCGATGCTCCTACCTTGGTACAGTCGGCCATTTTCTTCTTGTACATGCTATTTCCCGTGAATTTCTCTTCATTAATTCTTCTGCCTTTCTCTTGCAGAATCCATCTGCCTGGCTGCGGAACGTTGATCTAGCTGCGCTTCGAGGGTTCATGCATAGCCACCCCGGAATCTGTCATGGTATCCATCTCGAGTGATCCACCCGAACCTGGTGCCGTACCAAACCACCTTACCAATTCCCCAACATCACCCTATACAACCTTCCATGTAAGTATAATGTAGCCTAGAAGCAAGACTTTCTTCAGCATGAGAGTTACAAGGCAGTCAGTTACCAGGACGCCTTGCTTATCCCGAACCTCAGAGCAGCACTCAATTGCCCTAAGCCTTGCACAGCGTTCATTCTTTCACCGAACCTTATCCTACAAAAAACCCTCTCATACAACCAGGCAATAGCCTTGAATCTCTTCGCAAAGGCCCCTCAACCCGACTCTAATTAATCTCAAAAGCATACGGCAGGCCAGGACCAAATGAAGCTGCAAACCAATATTCGCCTTCGCAACCTAGCCGCAAAGGCCATATCCTTAACCCAAAAGACATCCAACTCGCTCAGATCAATATAAGCGGGCACGGGTAGGCGCAGCATAGGCCTCGACCTTATCCGAGCCGACGACAACCTGACCCAGGAGCTTGGTCCAACCAGTGAGATTATCATCCATGTTCCACAAAAGCAGGAGCATCATCCGATCGTCCAACATCGGATAGATAAGAACCTGCGTTTGCAGGTGCGGCCACAGGCCTTGATCTCTTGCCCTTAACGCCCACACACAGCGGCCAGGTTTTCGCCTGTCGTGGCGATGCGGCTCTCGTGTCCATGGCGAACTGGTCAGCGTGCTCGTGCGACCACTCCAGGCCCGCGTAACAGACCTGTGATGACGTTGGGTGAGGCTTATCGGTGCTACTCGGCAATCTACTAAGACTTAAACGCGGGTGTTCTGTGCCTGGGCTCGTGCACGTCGAACTGGAACGTGCCTCCGCCATGCTTGTGTAGGACAGCCGGCCCCGGCGCCGTAAACGTAGGTTGTTCTTGAGTTTCAAGCGATGGATGGACACTGTCTGATGGTCATAAGACATGAACCTGTGAACTTGTAAACTCGTGGACAGTTTACCCACGTCTAAGGCTCAAGGAGCGCCTCGAAGGACGCCGCATAGTAAGCGGTGTTAGCCTTTCCATTGAGGCTCGGTCTAATACACCGCTGGCTGCAGCCGTGGTGAAATCCGGGTCCTAACTAGATGGTATCTTGGGGGGGTGGAGGGAAAGGATATATATTCTGGTGTACTCGAGTCGAGCTTAATTCAAGTTACATAGATCTGATAAAATGTGAAATTACTTTCATTTCAACTTTCTTACTTCATTTACCTTGCTTGATACAAAAGCAATTACAATAGAGAAGAGTAGGTCACATTCAAAGTATAAAATATGGCTGTGCAATGATCTGAGAATACTATACTATGTATATAACTCCATGCAATAAGCTCCGTACCCCACGAAGACTACTACATAAAATAATATCATAGATAGAAAATCCGATAGCAGCACTCTCGCATTCTTCTCTACTCTCAAGTCTTGGGGATATCTTGTTCATCGAGGTATATAGAACGATCCAAAACCAAAGCAAGTGAACAGAACCGATCTGAAACTCCGAGATGAGGGGAAATCGACAGATCACTTGAAACAGAAATGAGAAACACCATCATACACCATCGTTTCACTTGGTATCATATCTTATGAATGTTTTAACGAAAATCGCTCCCGCCTCCGTGGTTTTCCCCTTACCAAAGCCCACAGTGCTCTTTCTCCCGACCCACACACTGTTTGCAAGATAGGAGAGTAATAACTGAAAAAGCATTGCTGAAAACAAAGAAATCAGAGAACAAAAACCCGGGAGGAAGACGGCTGGGATGGATCTCAGTATCCGCTTTCCCGGCCATCTGTCATGCCCTTTTTTTCCGAATTTTCCCGCCACCTTTAACTGCATGTTCCGAATGGTATCAAGCAAAAGCACAAAAAACCGCTGATTGCAAACCTTTAAAAAAAAAAAAAAGAAAATAAATAAAAGAGGTCTTGGGGGTATAGTGCTGCAAATTGACATTGTTTTAACGCGGTGGCCCAATAGGGGCCGGGTATCCAGAAGTAGAATTGGAAGTACTAGGACGACCACTATCAAAAGACGCGCGGGGGTCATGCTTGGGAGTCATGTCCCCCGGCGCGGTACCGAATGGAAATTTCGTGTCAAAGCGCGCTGGCCAGCCATTGCTGCTGCTGTGGCTGTGGGAGCTCCCCAGGACGGGAAGATCATCCTCGGGGAGATTCACACCCGAATCATTCCATGGATTGCGGTAGCCACTATCCCGAGATTCCATGGAAACCAGCGAAGCCTTGGAGGCGTTGCTGGAGGCGTGTTTGAAGAACGAGCCGGGAGAGGCGGAGTGGTTCTTGCGACCGATGAAAGACGAGAACGACGAGATGCTACCAGGCTTTCGGAGTCTTTCGAAAATCGACCCACGCTCACTAGTCTCGTCGGAAAAGTTGGGTCTGGTGGGAGAGTCCGTAACAAGAGGGACCGGTGCATGCTGCAACAGCTTGGAGTCGAAGAACGGAAGAGATTCTTCAAACGAGTCAGATTTAGGACGCGGAATAGCCCCTTTAACGGTATTCGCATCAAGTCCATGCGCCACTAGACGCGAAATCAGAAAATCGATGGCATCCTTAAGACCGCCGGCATTGTTCCGCGTGTATCCAAGCACAACACGGTCCTCGGGAGGCAAAGTTGGTGAAGCCGAACCAGCCGAACCAGTTTCGGAGGCGGGAAAGTCAGCACTGAGGTCAACCGTAGTGTCAACCTCATATTGCTCCTTCAGCTTGGCGCAAACGTCGCTGCGGAACTCCACAGACTTGAAGTACTCGCGAAGTTCGTGAGAGCTTTGGAAAAGGAGCTCATGGCTCTCCGGGACCATTCCAAGCAAAGCATCAACAGCCTGCGGAACCTGGTATTCAGGTCCTGAGATGGTCACCACATCACTGGCAAGTTCGGTGCTGGGGAACTCGATCTTGCAGTTCCATTTCTTTTCGAGCTCATCGATCTCCGTCATACGAGCAAGGAGTTCACGGTGGTAGAGGCGGTTGATCACTACACGCTCAGAGACATATTCTGCGTCGACCTTCTCGACCATGTCCATGATCTCCTGCTTCACGAGATCCAAGCTCTGTGCGTTACGGGCTGGCGTGCGGCAGATGACATTGTCAACCTTGATGTCGTCATCCTCCTTGCCCATACCACCGCGATCCATAGCGTTGGAGAACTTGACGAAGACCGAGTATTTCTTCATGATGCGCTGAATATGCTGGCCACCGATGCCAATGATCCGCTTGTGGTATTGATCCGGTACATGGAACGAGATCGAAGCCGGCATTTCCTGCTCGACGAGATCGAGACCGTTCTTCGTAGACTCATACTGATTTCCGCATACGTCGATGTAGAAGTTGTACTCGTTGAAGCCATCGAAGATAATTTGCACATTGCCTGTTCTATGTTAGGAATCAAGGCTACAAAGTGCGAACCGATGCAGTACTCACTCTGACCCATGATCTTGTTGATCTTTCCGTTCTTCTTGCCGCTGACAAACTCTTTGTGCTCATTTGCTAGTTCGATTTTCACACGCATCTGGTATTGACTCCGCTGGACGAATGGGATCTGGTTGACGACCATCATGGCAGCCTTCACGGCGTCATCGGAACCGTTGATGGTGAAGGTTAGGTTGTCAAAGCTCACTTCTGCCGCGGAATTGGTGCAGATATCTGACAGCATGGTGCGAACATCGGCGGGTGAGGGGGCGCGGAAGGTTCCCTGAGAGGGATCCGGCATGATAATCCACCATGAGGCGCTGTAGAATTGACCAGCCTAATCAAATTAGCCAAAAAGCCCTTGTAGCATGAATGCATTTGAACGTACCAAGGCCATGATCTCCCGCACAGTGCGCTCCACATGCAGCACTTCGGTGCCTTGGATACGGACAAGACCCCGTTGGCTGCCAAGCTGAGGGAAGAGAACGTAAGAGCCGTTCATCTCCATCACTTTTCGAACTTTGTCCAAGCGGTCAAGTAAAATGTTGTCAATCTTGTTAGAATTGACAATGACATCCTTGACATAGATCTTGACGCCCATGACAAGTTCTCTCAATTTTTGCTTGGCTCGAGCAATCTGCTCTTGGGTATCACCGGTGATATAGACCTCATCTTCACTGCGACGGTGAGCGCCTGGGGGCGTGTATCCGAAGATGCGAGGAAAGGGAGGCGGGAAGTAAATGGCAGTACCCGTGGCGGCCTCGATAAGCTTGATGTTTTTGCGAGTGCGGCCACAGACTAATGTATGCATGGTCAACTCTAGCTTCATAGCGTCCACGTGACGTTTAAGCTAGTAACCGGTTAGTCGTCATCATTGCATGATGCCGGTGAAGGGAAAAGGGTATTATAGGGCAATGATTGATTTTCGTGTTCGGAGAATTTTTCTTTTCTAATGCGTGGATAGGAAAACAGGTAACTTACGATCTGATCGATCATGATCAATACCCTGGTCTTGGCATGTTCAGCGCTCTCCATGTCACCGTAAATCGAAACCCGGAAACGTTGGTCCAGCCCATTGTCAGAGGCATAGCCATAAGAAGACACCACCGCGCTATCGTTATCTCGAAGTTTGGGGCTCAATAGGAAGATGTCCGTTCCGGTGTATGCAGACAGGGTATCAAGGTGTTCTAATACGCTCGGTCGGATTCCTTTCGTGGACCCATCCATGATGAGATGCATATCCACATCAACGGTCGCACAGCGCTATTGATTGTATCTCATTAGTAAGTGGATCGAGCATGCAGGCGATAGCCACCAAACTACGGACGAACATACCAACAGGATAGGTGTCTCGTTCAGGATCCTGGCCCGCATTTTGCGCACGGTCTCGCCTTCACCGGTGATACAGACGTTCGTTACCAAGCCTTGAGGTCGCCGTTGTAGGGACGCAACGGACTTGGGTTCCGAACCGAACACGACTGCCTCGATTCTCCCATTACTACTCTCGGTGATTTGGCGACACAATCTCCGCAAGGCCTCGACATTGCTGGTGTGAACGGGTAAGTTGTGGACGGGAGTGCCTTCGAGGGTGCCTTCGGGAAAAGTCCAGCGCTGCAGAGCACCTGGGCTCGCATGGAGCACATCATCCACATCGGGACCGCCCAACGTCGAAGAAAACGGCACGTTAAAGGAAAGGTTGACGGTCGGGTCGATGCCGGTTGGTGGTGTCATGGGTGGTGCGCCATGAGGTCGACGTAGCGAGTGCGATGCCATATCGGTGTGAGGCCTGGACATGCCAAACGTGGGCGTCATTCGCTCCCAGCCATGACGGGCTTGACCCGTAAAGTTGGAAATCTTGTGCATGGCAAGGGCGGCGGGTTTGAGTCTCTAACCCCTTGAACGAGTCGAGGGGAAAGAGAGAAACAGCGTCCGAGGAGAATGGCGGAAGGACGGATAGGTGGGAGAGAAGGAAGGAGAAAGCAAGAGGAAGAGGAGACGAGAGGGCAAGTCAGCCAGGAGAGGATGAGAGGCGTCAAGGGTGTGGATCGCCGTTCTCGACAGGGATGAGAAGAGGGCAAAGGAATGATGAGCGCGCGAAGGTGGTGTGGGCGGACAAGGGCGTTTCTGTCTTGGTACCGGAATGGGTTGGGAAAATGATTCGATTCAATTCAACGACCAAACGGGTATCGAGGGTTCGGGGGGAAGGAGGGGGGAACAAATAAAACCAAAGAAAAGGGTAAGGGAAAAAAAAGAAAA